AACTACATCCGAGCATCATTTTTCATTCGGTTTAATTTGCGTCGCGCAGATTGTTCTATTGAAATTTAGTTCAGTGGACGCTAAGCAGATAACGTGACATAAATTGTTTTATATCTTGAGAAATTTGAAAACGTTTTCCGCAGTTGACGGTGTCTAAATCCGATTACCGACGGAACCGGCGCATCCACCAGTTTTCTAAGTAGGTTTTAGTCTTGTAGTCAGTTGATGGCATCTTCTGAATTGGAGCTTACACGAGTGCTTCATTTTTCGGGGATGGAGGAGATACGCGCCTGCAGATATTGTTTAAATTTTATCATTTTTTATTAGATCCTGCGTTGTTTATAAATATTAAGTAGTTTTCTACATAGTTTTTTGTACAGGACAGAAAACTAGCGATATATTTGTGGTATACTTTGAAAGTTAAAAGTTCAGATATAATTTATATGTACACTTATAAATGATGTATAAAAGCTTTCTTTTCTAAAAATTTTTGAAGTTTAGACAAAATGACATTCATTTCTATGTAATCGCATAATTCTCTGCCTGTTTATTCAAATCAAACATTTAATGACATTTACTATATCAACATTGTGTGGTAGTAAATCCTATTTAAAAATGCGTAAAATAATACGCCTGTATTTCTATTTTTAACTTTGTGCGTCTAGGTTTTCAAAAAAATCAAAGTTGTACAACAAGGTTTTATAATGGTATTTAGACGACAGTACCGAATTCACTTGCTTGAAATTTGGCATACACTTTAATAATATCGTGAACATGGTAAAATTCTAACCAAAATTTATGTTTGTTCTTGCCAAAAATTTGATGTCAGTTAATTTTGTTTGAAATTAATAATAATGTATTCATATTTTTGGTGGTACTTGTTGTAAATAAATTAAACTTTGTAAAAGCATACTTTACAGTTCGTCTTGGAATTTACGAAACGAGCTTATTTATTTTTATTGATTCTCTGTAGAAAGTTAAGTACTTCATGACAAACATTCATTCGATGGATGTTTGTTAAAAAATGCATGTAGTGGTACAACATTGTTTGCGTTGTAGTAATATATTTTATTTTTTTGAATTTATAGTATAAGACAATGTATAATATAATTGCTTTTCTAATATTCCAAAAATTATGGGAACACGACACTGTTTTTTATTTTAATTATAGATACTATAAACAAAATTAAATTTGCAAATTCTATTTTTTTTAATTTATCTAAACCGCTGTAGTCGTTTTATCGTGCTTCGAGGGGATGGAAAGTTCTATCTAAATAACGCCAGACTAGTTTTTTGTGTTTTAAATAAGTGATTTTTTTTTGTTAATGTTAAAAGATAACTTTGTTATTAACCTGAGATTTTATAGTCGAAAGTTTAAAAAGAAATTGAGGCAGTTCCAAAGATTTCGATCTATGGCAAGAAAATTTGTCGTATGTATACGAATAGGAAGTGAGTACTTTATGTGAGTTGTGTACTATAATATTTAACATCCTTTAAAATGTAACCAAAGCCCAACGACTTTTCATATTTTATACCCAGTCATGTACACAAATATTATGGACGGTTTTTAGGTCACTGGCATATTATAGCACGTTTTCCTGTAGATACATTAATTTAATAATAATTTTATTTATTATATTCTTTTATTTTATTCCCGTGAACTTATTTTTTTCATTTCTTCACTTTTTTATTTTCCAAGCGTAACCTAAGTATCGTAATGGACCCTATTACGGCGAACGACTACTTTTACGTTTTCTCGACGTTTCATGATCCCTAGAGTATGAAAACTATGTTTGTTGCTGTAGTTTGTCTATGTTAATTTTTATTAAATATATAATCTCCGAAACTACTGCACCGATCGTAGTCGAATTGTAGCAATATCGTGTAGATAGTAAAACTCTGACCAAAATTTGTCTAATCATCCCCACTAAGAATTTGACTACGTTGCCTCAACATCTTGCAAGGTAAATATTGTTTAAATTTTATAAAATAAAATGCTCCTGTACTTGCAGTTTATGAATCCGCCTTGATTTTTATCTTTGGCATAAAGATTTTCATAAAAAAATACGATTTGCATAAAAACGTTTTACACTAATACAAAAGCACTGCAATGAATCGCCCAAAAATAGCCTTAACATACCACTAATTTTTTTTTAATTAAAATGCACTAAAACTGCTGAAAATTACAGTAAAATAAGACTGTTTTCAGGCAAAAGTTAAAAAAAGATGGACACATTGAGCTAAAATGTGAATGTAAGTAAAAACTATTTATTTTTTCATCGGTTGATATTTAAGTGATGTTCTTGCAAGGAAAGGACAATAATGCAAAGATCAAAGTAAGTTTAATTTTAAAAAAGGCAGTTAAAATACTTTTTTGCACTCATGATCTTTTTTGATGGCTTTCGTGCATTCACCAGGGTGCGGGAGTTCGAACTTCCCGCACACGTGCATTTTAACTTCCCGTTGCCATGGTAACCTTAAAATACTCGCGTAGTGTCAACATTGTGATGTGTTGACGGCGCCATTGTTTATAAATAACTCACAGTTAATTTCTTCAGTTTAAAGGTTTATTCGTTGCAAAAAATATTGTACACAACACGTTCGTGAGCCTGCTTCCCGCATTCACGCAAATGCGGCACTCCCTTCGGTCGTGCCGCAAACATGCATTCATGCGGGAAGCAGGCTATCCCGAACTAGTTGTGTAAATTACTATGACACTCTTCAGGTTTTGCAATGCGGACAAACTCAGCTATTTCTGGCAGTTTAGTTGTGGTTTTGTTTTCTGTAGAGGTTTCCGTGGTTTCGCGGCCAGTCTGGTTCATGGCCTTTTGATTCGGTGGCGCATCACAGAGACACCTGAAAATTAAAAACAATAATTATGGGAATGAAATTGTTACATTGTTAATTTTCGATTTCTCTTTCCTTGAGGAGTCTTCGGCCTGAAGACTTTTGAAACTTTCAGTGTCATCTAAACTTGTTTATTATTGATGTAAGAAAGCACATAATCAAATATTAGGATCGTGTATATTTTACGAGTGTTTGCCTTAAAATAATAGTTATTTATGTATTAAGGGCATAATTAGGAGATTATGGCACCAGGGAATGTTTAAAACCCGACGAAGAAGGGCTTTTAATGCCGCGAAGGCCATACTCGACAATTATGTCCGTGGTACTATTGTATTTTAGTTTCTAAAATATTTTTAGCGAAATGTGACCACGTTGTTTATGTGTTAAATAATTCGTTTTTCAAACTTCAAATTGAAGAAGCGGAAAACGTTTATTCAAAAGAAATTTTAACAGAATTTGAAGTGGCCCAAGGAATGATTGGATCAAATATGATTTTCCCTAACTTTAATAAAAATGTTGAATATCGAAGCTTGTTTAAATAATTAATTAATTTAAATGATAAATCGTTGCTTAGCAATTTTTAATTGATCTGAGATCTAAAGGCCAATTTATGCCCGCATTTGCGTGCTTATAAACAACATTATGATTCTAAAATAGAATAAAACTTTCTAACGTTCTCAAGCTTGCAGGATTCCGCGATTTTTTGCATACCGCATTTTTAGATAAAAAGTAATGCAGTAAACAAAGTTTAATGATAGGTTCTTTGTCACTTGGCATATTTACATACGCACAATATTTTTGTTTAAAAAATGTATAGATGTTCTGAATTTCAGCATAAATAAGGCCGCTAAAAGGGAACGTAATCAGCGAAATACCCAGTTTGTTTCCGTTAATAAATAAAGAGAAGAGAAATGCAAATTTTACGAAGTTTCTTAACTTCAAAGAGATCGTTTTAATATAAATTTATTGTTTAATAAACTAAGGTCGATATACTGTGATTATTTTTTTTATTCATTTTTAAACCTGTTTTAAACCTAAAACTATATGTCATTAATTTTTTCACGTATTAATTATTACTTTTACTGGTTATTTGATTAAATTTTAGTTTCTCAAAAAATTTCCTGTAACGAGCTTTTATTGTGAACCATGAAATAAAGGCCTGGTTGTAGCGCTAATTACTATTGTAATTATTATTGATGATCTTACATGTCCTCGAAATATTAATGTTGATAATGTAGATTTTCAAAAACAGAGTGGGAGAAAACTGCGATAGCCAAATGCGAAACAGATTTCTCTCATTTAATATACCTATAAAAGAAGAAGTTATTGGTTTTTGTAATTGTTATATATTTTTTTACAAATCTAAATGTCAAATAATCCTTTTCAAAAACAATTAACCAATGCTTCACAGATAACAATATTTTTATTGCCATGTATACTTTTTATTGTTACATCATCAAAATCATTTAAAATACCACGAAACATGCGTTATTTGCCATTTCACTTCCCGAGAGTATGGAAAAATAGGTCTCGCATTTTTGTCAGTTTGTTGTCTGTTGTCTGTTGCCAATTTTATTGGACAGATAATCTCCGAAACTATTGAACTGATTAAAATCAAATTTCAAATATTATTAATTAAAAAAAAAATGTCTAATTTGGTGAAAAAGTACATTAACTCTTTCTCGATATAAGATGTTAAACGAAACACAAATTTGTACTGTTATAATTTCTATAACGAATATTTCCGAGTGTTAATTGCAGTGAATAACAGGAGATAAATTGATGTTGGTAATGTTTGTATAAATAATTATTACTTTTTTCGGTCGTTTAAAAATAGCACGAGTGCAGCCTCATATAATCGAAAATCAATAACAGGGATGTATTTTTAGGGATTACTAACAAAGAAATCCACATATCTGGCAGTTAACATTTATTTTCTTCTCATATAGCGAAAATTTATGGCATTCATAGTACTACTTCATGTGGACTGCAACATTGTCGGCTTAATAAAAATTGCACGCCATTAGTCACAATAAAATATCGATCTATTTGTCAAAATCTTTGTTCATTGAGCAGAATGGACCAGAATGAATCAATATTATGTCTGAATAGACGCCAAACAAAGCGTCCGGACGCGCACTCTCGTTTTTTAGGTAGCCAATTTAGGGCATCAATGAATGAAGTGCTTCGAAAATGATTTGAATTCAGTGTTTGATGCACAGCATGGTTCTACAAAAACTCGTGTCCTCAAGATATTGGTACACAAGGCGTCCTCGTAAACGGTAAGTTTGTGATAAAGTATCGGGCCTCATGGTCCATTTCACATGAAAGTGTTAAACGCTGCGGTCTTACCGTTATATTTCGGCCTTATGTGCGCTTTAATTTTCATTTGTGACACATTCGCACTTGAAATATGCCAGTTCGTCGGAATAAGCAGTTGGGGTTAATGATGTCGCTTTTCATAATCCGCTCGTTAATAGCAGTTACTGTGGACCTTAATTTAGGGTTAATGCCCAAAACATAAGCTCGCTGAAAATTGGATTTAAACCAATCTAGGTTTCAGATTTATTAGGGCGTGCAAAAGCCAACAATTTATGGGAATTTAATGTTTAATTAAATCTTGTTGAACTTTGAGTTGTGTTAGAAATTTCTGTTGGAAAGTCGGTTGCTTGATCTTTGGCGAAATGGCTAAGGAACGGTCCACTTACCGTTTTTATGTTCGCGTCATCCGTATGTTGCGTTTTACTACGGAAATCCTAGGAAGTAAACGACGTACTTTTTGCTAGACTTAGCGTTCTTGCAGAAAGACGGCCTGAATAGAATGAGGGATAATACCAACAAAATGATAAATAAGCAAACATATAGCTAGGTGCAGCTTGTTTGTGCAAAATTTTATAAAAAGGTATGCGTAATACGGACTGTTTTGAACAATATTGCATGGACATGTTCATTTCGTCAGAGCAAAGTATAAAATATGCTCTGACAGGTTGTTTAGTTTTATGTTCAGATGAGCTACCATTTCAAACTCGTATTATAAAATATTGTCTGTAGTATTCACAAAGTTCCATACAAAATTCGTAATTTCGTTAATTGAAGTCATCTGGAAACATCCTTGGACAGATAAATTTTTTTAATAAAATTTGATGACGTCACTAGTTACATTAAAAAAGTTATTTCAAAAACTAAAATTGGCTTTGGGGAGTGTTTTCTCAAGAAAATGTCAATTAACGGAATTATGAATTTTATGCGGAACTTTATCAACACTCTGTACATATATTGTATAAAAATACGTTAATCCTATTTTGAGATTTAGTACACCACTGGCACTGGTGTGAACAGGATCGTAGAAATAGACCTGGAAAGTTCTACGCTAGACTGACGTCGCAGAGTTAGCTATGTTCACGCACATTGATGCCTTGCTGTATTTTGCTGTTAATATAGTTTTCAGGTATTTTGCAACAAAAATCCAACTTTTGCAAAATAAAAATAAATGACTCGATAACTACAAGCATTTTTTAATTGATGCAGTTTGTTTTATAAAAGTGCCGTCAAAATTAACAGGGAAATGACGTCGTTCAGTGTCAACAACTTTAAGCAACGTATGAATGAAATGTTTGTTATTCAGTTCACGTTTACTTAACGTATAAAATTCATAGGCAATGCATTTTATACCAGAAATTCCGCAGCTGTATTGTCAGTTTTATCAAACCATTAGTTCTCGGAGAAGTCTTAGTAAACTTCTTCGGAAATTAAGATTAGATGTAACGACTTGGCAATACCTTTGCTAAGTTTTCGTATACAGTAGATTCCTTATGGGTTTTACATGCTACTAATTAAAAGTAAACTGGAGTATATGAAGTTTTAAGGGGGTGAATGTGATTATAAAAAATTAGGTTATCGTTGTTTCGTTTCAAATTCATCAATAGCTCAAAACTGCAAGTTTTTTTTAAAAGCGACTGAAATTTTCTATAACATTATGAACTAATAAGTATACCATAATAATTGTAAAGTTGATTAACTTTTCAAATATTTGTTTGACACGAAAACACGTCAATTAGTGTTTGCCAATAAATTGTTGATTAACTTTTAACGTAATTAATGCCATTTTGCGTGTAATTGCTCAATTTTTATTTGTTTAAACATTTGTTTGTTTATTTATATTTTTCCGGGATGAATATTTTTTGGGCGTAATAAACGTTTCCTTTCTTCTCTACATTTTTTTTCTCAATATCTGGTTGACCGAGCTTCACTCGGCGCGTTTGGTAGTATTAGATCAGATTAGGACAGATAAATATGCGTATAGTATGCATTTTGAAGTACACGCGCTAAATAAAAATACACATTAAAAAATAAATTCCATAAGCAGTCTTTGTTTTAAACACTGATGAGTGACATGTAGAGATTAAAGAATAGAAAACTGGAATTATTGTTTGACATTTATTACAATCTCATTTGTTACCCAAGTTCTCTCTCTGTCGTTCTTTTTTTTTTCCTAGTTCTCTCTCTCGACTCTAGAAAAAGGTCACAACCACATCGTTACTGCCAGAAGAGTTTCGCCTCTGGTGTGGTTAATATACTGAGTTACCGTGCTCTTTTACGTTATTCCTAATTTCTCAATCTCAACCCTGCTCCCGAAGATGCCACTTACGAAAGTGTGCGAAACGTTGAGCCCAAAAACTCAAATAACACGGTCCCATCTCGGAAAACGATCACATATTGACTCCGACCGTGAAACCTCTGAAATGAATGCTTGACAACATAACGTCAATTCAACGCACTTTCGTGTGCCTTTTATCCGCTCACTGTTTAGTTTTCTGTAAATTTTCTCACCTCAGAAGGTGAATTTTAACGTCCTCTATACAGTGGAGTATGTTTCGGTACGTACAATTGAACATAAAAAGGTACGTCAAACGTACTGTCAGACTGTCACCCAAACTACTCTTATAAAACAATCTCGTGTTTGTGTAGCGTCATCTGATGTTGCCTAGCAAGAAATATAATTCACTGCCTGAAAATTGCTGAAAATGTATGAAGCTGTAATTTTCAGAAGTTAAAACTACGATCAATCGATTTCTTGACCCAAAAAACCCCCAACCTGTAAATTTCATCGAAATCGTTAGAGCCGTTTTCGAGAAACCCATTTGCTCGTTTAATAGTATAAGATTAGTAAAAATATTTCTTGGTCAGGTACTTTTTGCTCATTTTAATTTTTCGCATACTAGTAATGGAAGGTAGAAGATGGGTATGACCTAATCTCATTACATCAGTAACATTATGCAAACTAGGTAACATATGTTTGCCGGAGAGTAATAAATTATGCTTTCTTCCGTAAACACGAATCTAGAAAAGATAATTTTAAATCACGTACTTACGCGACTAGTATTAATTTGAGTGGAGACAGCAAAATAAAAATCGTTGTATTATGTTTGGAGTTGAGCTTATGACTCATGAGCTGCAAAAACTGTGCGTCCTGTTAATATCTCGGGTGTTCAATTGAAAAATCAACTCGATTTTTTGTAAACATTGTGAAGCATGTCTATAATAAACCAGGTGACAGCGCGGAATCATACATATCTATATATAAGATGGACAATACATAAGCTGCGCTGTGATGCCAGTCGGCGCCATATTGGTACATACGAGTTATATATTTCGTTATATATTTGTCAGCTGTTACTTCAGGCTGTCATATCACAGTGGTTATCAGTGCAGTCTGAGTTGAAAGTAGTGAGAATAGTACTTGGAAGTGCTATATTCTTTTACTTTTTATAATAAGATTAAAATATTGGTGTACTAAATATTATTTTCGTATCGTGTTGTGTTTTCTAGAGTAAAAGTCAAAATGTCGTTTTGGTACAGAAAGTTTTGTAAGCCTGGTAAGAGAGATAAAAGCACCGTTCCGCACCATCATCGGTGAGTTAATTCGTTAATAATACAAGTGCGAAGAACTGCAATATTTAATTATAACTAAATTTCAAGAATACAGATGAATGAAATGGTGTTTTTTTCAATTGGACACCTGTTATGTTTGTCTGCTTGGGTTTATGTTGGCGATTGACACTATCGTGTTGTAAAACTAAATTTATATTAATTTTATTATTATTAGTATTTAAATATTCTACATTCAAATTACGAAATATTTGGAAAAATGTAAGTAACTTTGTTAATAACACAGCCGAACAATTTTAGAAAAATTTCTTGTTACAAGCATTATCCCTACGTTGTCAAAAAAATTTTTTTTTGAAGATTGTTCTTCATAGGTAGTTCCAGTTAAAGGTGTACTACTGCATAATGGGAATAAATATCTAGTACTGCCGACTGTATACTCCATACAAACTGCAGACACATATGAGAATATTCAACACTTGTTAAACTGTATTAACGACAAAAAGTTTGAGTGCAATTTGATAGACGATTTAAAAATTGTAGCTTTAGTAACTGGCTTCCAATCTGGATATACCAAGCATATGTGCTTCTTATGCAAGTGAAATACAAGAGAGAAAGCATTTCAACATCTGAAAACAATATTTCCTAAGCTTTCTGCTGCTAACATAAACCAAGGTAAAAACTAAAATATTACAGTGAATTTCAGTTTTCATATTATGTACGTTTTCTATAGTTAGGAATTTTCATTGGGCCTGAAATTCGAATGAAGGATCAAATGTTCTACGCCTATTTGAATGATACGGAAAAAATTACTTGGGAATCAATTAGCTTACTGATCAGTGAATTTTTAGGAAACAAACGTTCCACAATTTATCTCATTTAAATTTCTTTGCTGATAATCTTTTCATCGAGAAATCAAGAAAGTCGAAGAAAGATTTAAGAGAAAGACCCAAGTATCCATTCTTTCCGAATACCTGAGGCTTTTATAAAGAGTTCGATCCTTCTACATATTCTAAGCAGGTTATCTAATCGTAGACGTAATTAAATATCTGTCGACAGAAATCTGTGGAACAATTTTTTAGTGCTTCTTGCGCGTTTTTCTATGTAAAATTAGAATTCACTTCATTTTTCTAATTGTTCACCGGACGACAATAAAAATTTGAATATTTTTTTTTTGACGACATGGGTATATTATCTCTTTTAAGAGTTGTTCAGCATAAAATTACCTTTCCAACCATGTTTAGAAAATATATGTAACAAAAACACTGTTCTACTGTGTAATTTAATTGTTATTGATTTTAAAGTCGGTTTAAGAAGTTACGTTTTTTTTTAATAGAAACCTGAGTATCACCTCTTGCGCAGTTAAAACTGAAACAAGTGAACGAACGAATTTTTG